CTCTTGACTGCTGCATCCACGAGTGTTGACAGTTGATCCAAGAAGAATGAAGTCCTTGACAACTTCAATCTTTTCTCCGTTGATAAGAAGCTCATAGCTCCAGGCCTGATGTTTATTGTTAAACATGTTAGTTATTAGCTCATTTGTTGTTATGTGCTGTGGAGTCGTTTCTGACTCACAGCAACCCTGCATAGAGTTTCTGAGGCTGTAAATCTTTACAGGAGCAGAAAGTCTCATCTTTCTCCCATGGAACAGCTGGTAGTTTCAAACTGCTGACCATGAGATTAGCAGCCTGATTTGTAACCACTATGCTACCAGAGCTCCTTTATCAGCTCATAAGGTTGTGACAAAAATAGCAGTGGGAATGTGTTTGTACTTAGTAATTTTTAGTTGTTAACGACTTTCCTTTTAAGACACCAGTTTACAACATTGTACTTATTCACGCTGTCCAACACAAGTATGGCTGCTTTACAGTTCTTTGGTTGCTGCCCTTGAGCTTGTGGGCCAATAAAGTTGCATGAGATGATCAAATCAATATGGTTGTTGTCATGTGCCATGTAGTTGGTTCCAACTAATAGTGACCCTGTACAGGGTTTCCAAGGCTATAAATCTTTACAGGAGCAGAAAGCCTCCTCTTTCTCCCACGGAACAGCTGGTAGTTTTGTACTGCTAACCGTGAGATGAGCAACCCAATTCGTAACCACTGCGCTTATCAGAGCTCCTTAGCATGGCACTCTGCAAAATTACCGTAGGCTTCTCTACCCAGCACCAAAGTTAATAAATAAAACACATGTATCTATTCTGAATCACTAACACTAATTATAAAAGGCTAATTATAAATGTACATGTTGTTAGGTGCTTTCCAATTGTTTACAATTCACTGTGACCCCATGTGACAGAGTAGATCTAGTTACAGAATTAGATCACCAGGTTTTTCTCCTAAGGAGGCACGGAATGGATTTGAACCACTAACCTTTTTATTAGCACCCAAGTACTTAATTGTTTGCACCTCCTTGTGTAATTGTCTACTGAATGATTTTGAATATCAAATGCCTATGGCTTATGAGCCATTTAGATGATACACGGTTTCTAGAGAATTCTTAGTGGCTTGTGGTTCTAGTGGGATGCATGGGAAGCATCCTGTCAGAAAGAATGCAAACTACTGGAAATCTCTTCATCCATCAGATAACTGAGAACCAAGACAATAGTATGTTGTTGTTGTTGTTGTTGTTGTTAAGTGCCGTCGAGTCGGTTCCGACCCATAGCGACCCTGTACAGGGTTTCCGAGGGTGTAAATCCTTACGGGAGTAGAAAGCCTCATCTTTCTCCCGCGGAGCGGCTGGTAGTTTCGAACCGCTGACCTTAAGGTTCACAGCCCAATTCGCAACCACTAATAATGGTTATCAAAGAATTGCAACTGAATTCAGAAACTGTCCCAGGAATTACATTTCTGCAAGTGAATAGGATGTGCTAATGTGTATAAGAGATGGGTGTGCAAATGTATCATGCATGAAACAGACTGAGATTGGCAGCCTAAGTCCTTACCTCGTGTGGCTGCTAATAGACATCTAGACTAATCCTTTTTGCCTCCCCTAAAGGC